TCACTAAAGAACATCAAGCCAGTGTGTTGTCGTCAAACTGCGCACATGTATAGCAGCAGTATAATCTGTGTGCAAAACCCCATTTTTTTAACCTGATTTTTAAGCATTTTTAAAAATCTGATTTGATTTGGTGGTTCTACACATGCTGTTTTTGTGTCCCAGTGACCTTTGCATGGCTTTTCCTCCATTCATTTAGATAGAGATCTGGTCGTTTTAGTCTGAAATAACTGCAATTGAGCATTTCCAGGATGACTTCCAAGAGACAGGACTTCCCCATTAGGACTTATTTAGGAAAGTACATCATGTGTGCTCTCATAGAAACAAGGTTCTCTGCACATCTTCCAGCAACATGGTGCTGAAACTTCTCAGCAGCAGATTTCCAGAGTACTAAAGCAGACTGGAGCACACTGCCTAATTTATAGATTTTACTGTGTGAACGGGCTGGCTAGCATTTTAACACGACTGTGTCCTTGTCCGCTTTGACTCTGATGAAGACACAGGACGGTTTGAAAGTGTTTGCACAGTAAAAGGCTATAAATTAAGCAGCGTGCTCTGGGCACCTTTTGGTACGTTATTTGTGCATTAAGCTTGTCATGTCAAAAAAAATACAGCACAAAACTCTCTGTAAAACCACAACTAGTTGCTTGTTGTAGAAACTGAACCATCAAGATCCACCCATTATCTATGCGCAACTTAATCCTCACTAGGGCCGCGGGAGGCTGGAGTCTATCCCAGCTGATTCAGGCCCTGGACAGGTCGCCAGTCTATCACAGGGCTACACAGAGAGACAAACAAGCACACTCACATTCACACCTACGGGCAATTTAGAATCACCAACTGACCTCAGCATGTTTTTAGACTGTGGGAGGAAGCTGGAGAACCCGGAGAGAACCCATGCTGCATGGGGAGAACATGCAAACTCCACGCAGAAAGATCCCAAGCATCCTAACCGGGACGTGAACCAGGGATCTTCTAACTGTGAGGCGGTGGTGCTAACCGTGCAGCCCACCATCAAGGTAGAGATGAATTATTTCATTAGAGTAGAGTTAGAGTTAAAGGGGTCTTTTTTGTTTGTTTTTGTAACAGCAGACTGATCAAGTCCAGCTATTCACCCCTATTTTCAGTCGCTATGCTAAACCAGCCATGTGCCGGCTGTCTCTTTATATTTAGTCACATTTTCAAATCCTTGTCCTTCAAATGCTGAACTGCACCTTTAAATGCATGTATAAAAACGTCCACTAAATGTGTTCATGTGAGAACGTAAGTGAACCGAATTTTTAAAAAAACAGAACAAACCCTTTCCTCGATGGTTCGGATCAAAGACAGCGAGCTGTAGATATAGTGGGAGCTTTACTGTCACTCCAGCGGCCTATGAGTCTGAAAGACAAACTCGGGGATGGAACCTCAACTGTGCTTTTTCTTGCCTGTTTGAACACAAGAACAGAAGCTGAGCTTCAAACGGAGCCGGAGCTGGAGTGACGCCTCACAGATAACTACCTACAGCTCTGTCATTTTCTCTTTCACAGCCTCTCTTTGCTTGTTTCTGCGGCCCGTGTGTAGGTTCAGTAGCTGAAGCGCCTCTTTCCGCTCTGACACTCTGCAATCAGATGTGACATGCTGAAGGCTCGGATGACAGCCGGGAAGACAAGGTCACACAGTCACCTACTTTTAACGAAGGATATGTACAACTCCTTTTGACAGGCCTGTGCTGCGCATAAAAACACATTTACACACTGCGTGCACGCTGTGAGCGCACATGCACCTCCGCTCGCTCGCACACAGTCACAAGGCGGAGCAGCGGCATTTTGCAGACGGGGCCTTTTCTCGTGCCTGTGCAATCTCTGAAGCAATTACCTATTAAAATTTCATCCTTCCCATCTCGGAATGTTTAGGAAAAGATTATAACTACTGGGGAGGTAATTAAGCCTGCAAATGGTGAATTGAGTTGTGAATACAGAGCACTGTGTACGTCGTGTAAGTGTGTAAGTGTGTGTTTTGTCTTAATAAAGCGCTGCCCACCTAAAGCTCTTTACTGTGACACGCAAAAATGACAATTAGAGGAACGAAGGACGTTATTGGACTGCAGGACGTGTTCTGAGTAATAATTCACAAGGATAGCTGCTTCCCCCCCAATAAATTTCACAACTACTTATTTAACAGAATATACACTAAATGTGATAATGAGATTAGCTGATGCTTCGGCGTAAGAACCCGGAGAGTTTATGGTGCTGCAGACTTTGGCGAAAGTCACCCTGAATTAAATGGCTGGAGATGTTTTAAGACGTTTCGTGTCAAAGCGTGGAGCAGCGTAGCTTTAATAGCGCCTCAACGTGGCACATGTGACAAATACGGAGCCCTGTCCTTCATCGGTGAGCGCTGCCATCAGTCTGGATGTTGCCTCTGACATCATCTGACTCTTCTTCCTCTCCTTCCCCGTCCTCCCTCTTTTTTTTTTTTTTTTTTCCCAGCCCTCCCGTCTTTGTCTCCCTTCGCTCTTTGATGCTGGAAGTGAAGAGACACGGGATTTTCGGGCCTTTTAAGGATTCAAACAAAGTCTCTGGGTTTTGAGATGACATGAAAGTCTGCTAGCCTGCACCCAACTGGGGAATTTGTAGAGTTGGCTGGTTTCTGGTTCACAAAGCAACAACAGTGTCCAGTTTTATTACGCAGTCTGTTGCGGGAGAACGCACTGGGGCCTTGAAACATGGCAAACACAGACCTCCGGCTTGTGTATTACTAATTGATTCTGTGTATTTCTCACTTGTGTGGCCCGTAATCATCGTGAAATATCAAGGAGCTGTTTTTTTTTATTTGCTGTTTTACACCTCCGTTGGCGAACACACAGAAAAACACACCTTCTGAATGATAAAGCAGCAGCGATTCCTTCACAGACAATCAGCGTGCGGACGGTCGACCCAAAGGAACTTTTCTCCTCTTTTGTAAGGAGCAGAGACCTGCCAGGCCAGATTCATTGATGCCAGTAATAGGGCCAATCTGGCCATAAGCTATAATCAATATGCGCTTCGCACTAAAAATAGATTTTCCAGCACAATCTCGCGCTACATCTGAACAGACTCCCTTTGTGTGCCCAAGCATGTGCGCGAGCGGCCCTTTTAACCCGAGCACTTATCTTTACATTGCAATTACTGCTCTCTTCACTCTTCCCCTTCCCCTCTCATCTGTCCTTTGCATTTACAGTGACACGCCTAATGAAAAATCACCTCGCCCTTTCCAGTCTATTTATCTTCGGTTAATCACTTAAAATAAGAATAACGCGTCAGCATCCATCCAAATCCATATCTAATTCAACCCTCGTCTCCTGCAAACCGTGATGAATCGCCTCCGTCTTCGGCCGACCGAGGGACCCGTCGGGGCCAATCGGGCGGCCGTCGTGGGAGCGATCCCGCCAGATCTCGGAGGTTAATGACATTCCGCATGATTACCCGCAAGCGGCGAGGATCAGGAGGTTCGGGGGGAGCAGGTTCCACGTTGCAAATAATAATCGCTTTTCCACAGCCGTGTCCTCCACGGCCACTCGGGTGATAGGCCACCCCGCTATCTCATCTCTCCCACAGTGAGGGAAAAAAAAAGGACTTGAGCGAACCCTGACACCTACTAAAAGTGTTATTTATCTCCTTTCATGGTGCCGGAGCTTTAAGACTCCCCCCTACCACCCCTCCATTTATTTAAAAAAAAAACACACATGCAACCTTTCCTTCTCCCTTCTACACGAGATGCGCTCTCATCATGATGTTGATGGTGTCTGTGGGTGTAGTGCTTCATGCTGAGTAGGGTTATGTCACCTTGTCGTTAGCCAGGGGAGCTGTTGTAGGATTGCATATTTATCTCATTCTCACAAATAGAAGTAGTTATTCAATCCCCACCACCACCACAAACGCTTCCTTACATGTACACTTCCTGATTGATGGAACATTTGAAACTCAACTGTGCAGAGTTTAAAGATAAAAGAAGGAACCTGGGGATGTTAAAGGCGATATACGTGGTCAAAGTTCTTCCCGGATGTTGGGAAATTGAGCATCCAATCTTTTGACTTTTTTGTGAAAAGAGCACATCAAAAACGTAGTGATTTATTTTGCAAAAAAAGTGATGAAACGCGCTTTGATGCTGCAGTTAGCTGGAATACTACAAGATGCCATTCATGTACGGCTCGATAGTAACACATGAGACGAGGGAGAAGAGACGCGACCGGTGATGCAACTTGGAGAAGCTGCTGTGCACCGAGCGGTACAGTGTGTTTTCATGTACTGTATGCTCTGGTCTGTACATATTTGTGCTTTGTGCGCATTCACGCGTTTGATCTTCGGTGTTAAAAACACAAAGAAGCCCGCTACTGTAGCAGCCCACGGGACACAGCAGAAATAGATGGCATTCATAGTCTTTGTATTATACCCCTACCACTGCCACCACCCCCCTCCAAAAAAAAAAACAACCTCCACACGAACACACCACTTCCTCACAATCACACACACACTCCCACTTCCCTTCTTCCTTTCTCTCATTATATCATGTGGGCACCAACCAAAATAAAACAGTGAATAACGGCTGGATTTGAAAAAAAAAAGGCTGAAAGAGAGGAGCAGATCTTTCTCTTTCGAGCGCGGTTATGAAATGGATGGATATCTGGCTGGTGAGAGATAAAACAAAAACCCATTTGAAACAAAATAGGAACAAGCCTGCAGGGATGTGTGTTTTCTTCCCCGCGCTTGCACTGAATCTTTGAGGATTTTTTTTTTTTTTCTGACTCAAATACCAGTTTGGTTCCAAAACATTTGAGCCCAGATTGACTGACTTGATCCCCAGACTCTTTCCATCCTTACATCACTCCGGATGACTTTGCAGCCTCTGACACCAACACTGGACACACACTTTTTTCTTTTTTTTTTTTGCTGACACACTCTCCGCCCACACTTCCATATGCTGCTCTAAGTTATACACACAGTTCAGTTAATAGTAATAATATATATTTTTTGAAAACTCACGCAGGTTGGTGGCCCTGGAAACATAGTGCTGCGAGTGCATCCCAAGGGCCTCCTCCCCCCGGTACTGCTCACCTGGACACCCGCCCTGCAGCACGCTGGCGACGGCCCTGTTAGACAGAGAGGAGAGAGGGGGGGAGGAGGAGAGAGACAGGGAGGCGGTGGCGGATGAGAGGTGCAGACATGAGGAACTGTGGTTAATTTAATTATTCAGTTGGGCTGCACTGGTGCACACCACCTTTACATGAAACTGTGCGGTGCAGCAAAAGAGAGATTTGGTTTACTTGCGCTGTTTTCATCCACTATTAAATGCCACTATGAAGGTAAAGCATCTCCAATCAGACACACAAATGGAGCGCAATGCCGCCTTTTGTTTTATTATTTTATTTTTACTCCAGTGAAAGAAGCCGCCCCCGCCACATGAGAGAAGCAATGTTATGTTATACATCACAATGGATGGAGTGGAAAGCGCACGCAGCATCCAAGAGTCTTGACACAGAAGATGTCATAAGTTGCTTTGGTTGCCTAGAAACCACATCCAGTGTGCGAAAATGGGATGCGTTTAAGTAAAGCAAGTTGCAGCTTATTTCAAATGTTTGCGTCTTCTCCGTCTATACTTCTGATGCGCGCAGAGAGGGAGAGAGAGAGGAGAACGACGCGCTCCGTCTCAGTGCGTGCGTAGGCTACTACTGCAAGTGTCTTTGTAAACAAGCGCTCTGAGAGAAGCAGGCAGAGAGAGAGGAGAGAGGAGAGAGACTTACCTGGACATGTTCTCTCTCTGAGGCCGGTGCGCTTTTTCCAGCCCCAGTTTGGTGAAAATCCCAACAAGAGCCATGATGGCCACTACTCCACAAATGATGTAAACTATTAAGTTCGTCTTGTCTTTGGTGCTGTCGTGCATCTTGTTCATTTTGTTGTAAGGGGTCTGCCCGGTCTTCATCCACACCGGAGTGTCATAATTTTTACAGGTGCTCTGGTCGAGCCGCGAGTGCTTGAAGGAGCAGCAGAAGCGGAAGCCACAGGTGCCGCAGCAGTACAGATAATTGCCCGTTTTGCAGATGAACGGAGGGTCCCACTGGCCCATCACGTCGTAGTAACCCCGACATTTGTCCTCCGTGTGCGGGGTCTCCTCGGACACGCTCTCCTCCTCCCTGGAACCGTTGGAGGTGGTGATCATTACGAATCCGCCGAGCAGTCCCGGCTCCCCGTCAGCCTTGCACACGAGAGCCATAAGTTTGAGCAACAAGAAGCCGAGGAGAAAGTATTTCCCTCTCATTGTGCCTCCGGTCAACTTCACGCGGAAAGGAAAAGACTTGGAGAGAGGAACAAAGGCGCACGGTCATGATATGCTGGAAAGTCCAGAAACATACATCCGAATAGCAACGCACCGTCATCCGCGCAGATGGACATCTTTACTCACATAGCATCATCCAAAATAAAAAAAAACAAACGCGCAGAATAAGAAGAAAAAAAAAGAAAATCTCTGTCTTGAACTTAATCGGACTAACTGCTCTCTCTGCTGCGCATCTATACGTCTTCCCCAGAAAGGCTTTGGCAGGCTCAGATTTCGCGTTTTCAGGAGTGCATCACTTTACATATCCATCTGTGCGCTCTTACGCACAGGAGTAGGCAGAGACACAAGCCGCACAGAGGATGAGAGCGCAGTGAGCGAATAGAAGAGCCGAGGGTGGGAGCGCCTGGTGCGCAAAAGGAGAGGAGGAGGAAAACAGGGGGAGGGAAGGAGGGAGGGAGGGAGGGAGACTGCGAGGGTTGAGAGAGAGAGAGAGAGAGAGAGAGAGAGAGCCTTTGTTGTGAAATATCCTGATAAAAGCCCCGAAATACGCACATCACTATTCTGTTTTTGCGAGGAAAGACGTGGGAGCCCACCCCCCATTTTTGCCACTTTGTGCATTTCCAGCCGTAGGTTGCCATTGTTTGAGAAATATCACAAGTAGCTTAATGTGTTACAATTGGCGGTGGCTGGCAGAGCTTCTAAGAACAGGGGATACATTTTGAAAAAGAGCCCTCCACAAAAGATGTAACCCCGGAATATAAAGCCTACAGATCCCAGGGGAGTTCCAACAAAACACTATTATTCTCTCAGTCATTAATGCCCATTAAGACTCAGCCCTTTGTTCAAATGCATTATAACCAAGTGGCACAAACCACATAATAAGATAAGTAATGTGGCACCATAGGCTATAAACCAGTTGTATTATGGTATCTGACTGGAAAATGCTTCTCTTCTTCAAATTGGTCTTTCAAAAACCAGGAGGAAATCAGCTTATGTTAACACACAATCTCACACTTTATATAGAAGGAGTTACATTGATTGGAGTGCTTCAAATGCATTTGATTTTGCATATAGGTGCTGTGAGGCGGGAAAAACAAAACTCCCTGAAGGTCTTGATGTGAGCTGAAATGCTGTAAAAAAAAATCCTTCAATTAAATCCAATTTTACCGAAGAATCTTTAATCCTTCAAGGTATTGAAACTGTGCGGAAGCACAACCAACAATCATTCACCATATAAGTAAACCAACCGTATGAGCTGCTTTTGTTCATTAACATAAAGAGCATGGATGGAACATGCAGCTGCAACAACCTCTCTCCGTGGTACTGAAAGGCTCCAGCCTCTGTCCAAGGTCCTTCTCTTTGTGTGAACCAGGAGCTGTGGGCGACAGCAACATGTGAAATGATGATGTGGAGGTGGAAAGTTTATCAGGGGCACAGGGGATACATCTCCCTTTGTATTTACCCCAACGAACAAAAACATAAAAGAATCATTTGTTTTTTGGGGGGGAAAAAACAAACCTGCGCTGTTTACTTATAGACGCAACAATTCCAAGATATTTTTTTTTTTTTTGTTATTTTTTCTCATTTTTATGGATAACAGGTTGCATTAAACAACAGTTTTGCGCATATTTATTTATTTATTTATTTATTTATTTATTTATTTATTTATTTATTAATCACCAAGCTCACTCACTTTTAAAATGTATTTATTTCATACAATACGTGTTCCGTCTTAACCTCTTCAGACCCGAGCTCTTGTTTTAATCTGATCAAATAGCAAAGAGAAAGAAAAAATGAAATTTTAAAGAAAATAAAAATATATTTGAAAAAAAAAAGGTATTAAAAAAATTTAAGGAAAATATATAAAATAACAATAATAAAATGATAATAATAAAATAATAAAAAATAATTTAAAAGATAAACTACTGTGGTAATTTAACCCAAAATATGATGTCCACACATGTGGATGCCAGAGGTTAATGATATGTGACAAAGCTGACTTGAAATGAACTACCAATGTCCATTAATATATTAATTAAAATGAAAGAATGAGTCATTGATGTGGTGAAGTGCCACGTGCACATTTCCAGAGGTCACTTCTCCAAACAAAAGACACAAAAGAAGACAGAGGAGTAAATCACACCTGTATGTATGTGTGTGTGTTGTTTCAGCCAGTGATGATATGAAATGAGTAAAGTTGATTTGGAGAATAAACATTTGAAGGCAATGCAGAATGCTTCAGAGCCCCACTGCATATTCCATTATACTTTGGTAAGTGCCTAAGTTTTGTATGTTTCTTTACAAAAAAAAAAACTGATGAAGAAAAATTGCAAATTAGCGCATAAAAATTCACCAGTGTATGGCGCTCAGATTTCCTTGGGGAGGACATGAGATCTACCCAAAATGCGGAGTTTATAGCCTCAAGGTTCAGCTGTCACTGGGAGCAGCTTATGTTTGGTGATGAGAGGAACGCACCTGATTATCATTTTTACAGCATCTAATTGTGGTTTGTGTAATAAAATGATCGTATAATTAGTTTTCTAAAGTCATTTTCACATTTCCTACAGCACCCTCCATAAACACTGAGCTTCTCTGGTGTATTAACAGTCACTCCAGAGAATAACACTAATTCAACAAACATACTTTTTCGAAAAAAATAAAAAAAAATCCTGTGTGTTAAGCTACACTTAAGAAAGCAAGTATGTTAAAGTGGCACCTTATGGATTACAGATAAAGATATGAAATTAAAATCTGTTTTTTCTCTTTCAATTTCTATATATGGCTTTATCCTCCGTAGGGTCGCAATAAGCTGGAGCCTACCCCAGCTGACTTAGGGCAGGAATTAAAATGTAATAAAGGATACAGCAGTATAAAATCAATTAAAGGTCCCTATTGTGCCCATTTCCAGTAAAATAATCAAGACTCACATGTCCTAACAGGCTGTTTTGATGTGAAAACCAATGAGCTGCTGCTGTCCCGCCCCCTTCAGGAAGAAAATGCTCTTCGTTTGTGATTGACAGCCAGAGGTGTCAATCACAGTTTGAGCAGAACAGCTATTGAGGTTTACTTGAGGAATGGCAGAAATAAGCTTCTTCATATCTTAACAGCTTTTATTTTACACCTCAAACTATGTAACAACCACACAAAACAAATCGATTTTCTCCTCAAGGGACCTTTAAAATAAATAAATAAGAAGAAAAACAACCAAAGACAAAATAGTACAGAGAGGCTCAAAATAGTGCACAAAAAATATATAATAATCAAAACTGATTGGCCAAAACATCAGGACAATATGAGATAGAAGTTTTTTGTTTGTTTTTATTCCTGAAGGAAAGTCTTTTGCCAGATATTGCTCAGAAAACAAAATGACATAACATTAGGAAATGCAGTGCCCAGCAGAAACGCAAAACAATGGAAGTGTGAAACATTACTGAAAATAAAATAGTACACTAAAACAAGGCTGTAAAAAAATAAATAAAATAAAATAGGTAATACTGGCCATGATACTGAGGTAGTAAAGTGATATCACACATGATAATAAAATACTGTACATTACATACACATTGTAAATGAAAGTAAAATATTGCACATGTAATTAAAACATTGAACCTGGTTTTGGGGTCTGCTGCACACACAACCCATACCACTCATACAACAATAAAATGAGCATCCAGAATAAAATAAAAGAATAAATAAGTGACATAAAAGTGCAATGCATTATCACATTACTTAAAAAAAAACAAGTGCAATGTGAAAAAATACATACAGACACACCCCTTACACTGTTACACACATTGTTATCTGGATGACTGGCTTCCTGTCTTTCTGTTCCTTAATGAGCTTCACTGATAGACGGATGAATGAGTGTTTGTACCTGTTCTGTTAACACAGTGGAACCCTGGACCTTCTTCCTGAGTTCCTCAAACTTATCCATACCCTTCCATTATAGAAAAGGCAAAATTCACAATAGCCACTGAAATAACTAGAAACTGAAAAAAGTAATAATAAATAAAAATTTGCTAAATTACAATTTAGTGAAATAAGACCATTATTTTTGAATTGTGGTTAAAAAGAATAATGAAAAAAAAAACTGTCCCGGACAAATTAGAGCACTTTGCTGATGAGCAGTGGGCCAAAATCAAAATACCTGTCAACAGGTGCAGAAGTCTGATTGGGTTACAGAAAACACTTGATTGCAGTGATTGGCTCAAAGGGTTGTTCAACTAAATATTAGTTTAAGGGTCCCATCATGCTTGTTTATTTTTTATTTGTTTATTTATATATTTTACATTTCTGTTGAATCACAATTCAAAATGTCATGATGTTCATTTTTTAAATTATTTATTATTACTTTTGCCAATTTCAACTTATTTCATTGACAGCTGTTTTTTTTTTTTATTTATTTTATTTTTAATTTTTTTTTTCCTTCTTTAATGGGGGTATGAATATATTTGAGGACGACTATAAGTAGAGTGTATTCAGGGTGCAGTGCTTTAGAGAATATGAAATACTGTCTGAGGGTCATTTGTTCTAGCAGGTCATTTATATGATGCTAGACACTATATAATACTCGACACTGAGAATATACGATTATGCTTAATTACAGTACTAAACGTTGAGAGCTGTGCCTGGTTCGATAACCAGACAGCGACCTGTTGGAGCAGAGCGCGGCCGGTGAGCTGCAGCCTCACTGGGGGCCGCTCCAGCTCAACTTCCTCACCACCACCAGCAGGCTGTGTAGTCGATCACCGATAGTCTCCAGACCGAGCTAGCCGCGGGGACAGCTGGACCCACACAGCCGCTACACAACAGTCCCGCCCGGAGGCACGACTCTGCAGTCGCACGTTAGTTTGCGCGGACGACCAGCGGACACCATGGCTGAGAGTGAGAATATGTTTCTCAGGGCGAAGCACCGCACGTTCAGCGGATTGACTGAAGGTAACCGACTTTGGTTAGCTTGTTTAGCCCCGCCGGCTAGCCAACTTATAGGCTAACCCATTAGCTAACGCTTCCTAACTTGGCAGTTACACAAGTTGTTGTTGTTGCTGGCTGCAGGTCGGCGGTGTGACAGAGCAAGAGCCGTCACTTGACAGCTTTTGGTGGCTTTATTTGAATAAACGTGTCGTCGTTGTCAACCACATGCAGTCAAGGTGACTAGCCTGTTAGCTTGTGTTTACAAAAAGTATCCGTAGGTAGTGTTGTTCTCTCATTTAGCAATGAATCAAATCAGTGCAGGACTTGAATACAGTGGTTGCTGGCTTTGCTCCAAATGTTTCGAAAGCGCTTCACATGTCAAAGGAAACGCAGAGAATGGGATCGTTTCGTAACTTAGTGCAGAATAGTTACAGAATGGACGATAAGTCACACAAAAGTTCTTATTTAAAAGTCATGTTTGACTCACGGCTCGAGTCTAGACTTAGTTTAACCACATTCCTAAGCCTGAATCTTTTAGCACAACTTGATTTTTGTCTCTGTGACTAAAAAAAGTTAAATAAAAAAACAATTATATTTATATGATTAACTGTTAAAAGTGCATGGTTCGGACCTTCAGCTAAGATATTAAGGGATTCAAATCACGCATACAGTGCTCAGCTACATACTGGTGACACATTTAAGGAAAAGCCTCAACACCCTACAGTGAGAGGATCTGGTGGTTCTGTTGTGTCCATATAGAAAAAGGTCACTACAAATCAATATAGTCTTGTTCTGCCTGATCGCCTTTATCCTATGATTAAACATTTCTGTCCCAATGGGAATGGTTCCTTCTAGGATGACAATGCCCTCATCTATAGGGCACAAGAGGACTCAATGAATGGTCTGATGAGTATGAAAGTTATGTGCTATGGCCTTTACAGTCATCAGATCTCAACCCTACCGAACACCGACTAGTATGCAGGGCTGAACAATTGATTGAAATATGACCAGGTGCAGTATTTAATCACAGGTGGTGCAGGTTTTGTTCACAAAATTCCATTAATGAAGTATCACGGTGTCATAAAAATGCCCCAGCCTACAAATTAGATTCTCCAGACAGAAGGAAACATGCTGGTTTGCTACAGAACACAATTAAAATCGCATTATCATGTTTTTATTTTTTCAAGTGGAACAGAAGTGAAAAAAAATTACCATTCCCACTGAAGTCATGAATCATGTTGCAATATTAGTTACAAAAGGCACAGTATGAATTGTTTTGCATATCATTCAGCTTTTTGAGACTTTGGACTAATGTGTTCGACGGCTCTCTCCACCACCACCATTAAAACACTGACTGTGGGCACTTCTAATATGGTGTTCGTCCCTCCTGTAGAGTTCCAGAAACCTCAAGAACCAGTGTCAAAGTGAGAATCAGTGTCAAGTGCAACATGCCACCACATGTCCTGACAACATGTGGTGGCACCACACCTTAATACAACACTTTATGTTGGTTTTTCCTTTAATTTGTCACCTGTCTGTGTTTGCATTCACCAGATTCTACCCCTCCTGTTCTACCCCTGTTTGGTTTATCAGCACCTCCTGCTGGAAACCAGCTAGTATTGGGGAACTCAGGGGAAGAAACTGAAATCTTCAGTATTTTATTGTTTGCCACAAAAGTAACCCCCTGTGCACCTTAATCTAAAAACATGATTAGTTTTGTTTTAACTGCACCATCTGCCACCTGAGAAATCTGAGCAATTTATGCTTGACGTTTGGCTCCTTGAACACAGCCATAACAGACTGCTGCCTCTTATCTCTCGTCATCAGAGCATTGCCAGTTTTTTCCCATTTGTCTACAAAATAGTCACACATCTGACTCCAGAGAGAAGCACTGTACTACAAAGAATGCTCAGTGTAAGTTAAGAACTTGCAGGATTTGCATGTGAACTCTGTGAAATGTTTATAGATTGTGTCTGTTAAGAAGAAAAGAAGATGGCTTATAACTCAGGAGCAGGAAACATGCATGGAGGTGCACATGCACATGAACATGTTGTATGTCAATGCATGTGCACACTTGGGTGCCCATGTGATTTGCATACATTCCTTTTCAAAGAAAATCTGCTTACAGAGGTGTGTATTGTCAGGTAATGAATTCTATATGAACACATTTAGCTGAGGCAGGGATTTAGAACAATTCTTCTGAGCTGCCAGAGTTCAAAAAATGCTGATGAAAGTTTTTGATCAGTTTAAAAAAAAAAACTCCAGCTTGCATCCTCTCAAGAAGTAAATGCTGGTAAGATAAAATTAGGTCTATACCACAGTAGGAAGCTAGACTGTACACGACACTGCTCCTGCTAGCTGGGTAAATTCAACAGTCCCCACTGTGTAGACACAAGTTAAGATCCATGTGAGACCAGTCTGGACGGAAGGCATTCTGAATTCAATTGAAGAGATGGTGATGATAATCATAAAAGCACAATGTTCTTCCCCTCGTGATTTCATAAGTGTCAATTACAACGAGGGGATCATTGTAAAGCTTCTACTTGTCTCGTTCCCATGAGCGAGACACCCTTTGTTGCTCTTTCTTTTGCTATCTTTGCTCAAGTTTCTCTGGAGGACAGAATTATCATAAACTCATTTGGGAGAGAGATACATGGAGAGCATGTTAAACACAGTGGATGCTGAGCAGCTACTCGCCCCTGCTGAGTGTAAGTGAGGGGATTTGTGCAGAATGCAGATGCAGACTCTCAGTGACAGCAGAGCATAACTACAGTGGTACTCCTTCCACATCCTCCGGAAGCTAAATGAGTGGAGCAGAAAGCTGTTGTTTACACCTGCTCTTAGCATCTGTCCATTTTCGAGCGACAACGACAGTCCATTTCCATATCGCTTCGCTGGGCTTTCTCTTGTGTCCTCCACGTCGGAGCTTGTCATTGCCATCAGCCAAGCCGCTTTGAGCGTCTGCTCCTGTTCTTTACGTGGAAAGGCAGGCACTGTTTGCCTTGTTAATGAATATTTGAGAGTGATTAGATTGTAGAGCTCTTCTGTTGCGTAATATCAGGATTATGTAAAACACTTGTTCTTTGCCATTCATTCTCCAACATGTAGCTCTTTGTTAATTATTTAGCAGTGGTTACTCATTGAGCGAGCACGTACATCACTTCTCCCCCCTCTTCCGATCTTCTATTCCCCAGTCCTATATCCTGATCACAGCGCTTTGAACTAATCAAGTGTTGTGCTGATTCCAAGAACGCATATGATGAGGTTTCTACAAGAAGCTTTCACAGCAGGCCTTACACCACGAAATGACTAATACCGTGATGACACCTAATCCTTGAAGCTTTTCTCTTTACACTTATTACTACGTGGCTTGTTCTCTGTAAGCATCCCTTGACTTTACTATATTGACATGACAATGTTTGGATTCTGCCATAATATCTAGCTGGTAATACCCCGGGAGATAAATCAAAAGGTCAGCTGCCATAAACATACTGTGAGGTTGTATAAACTGATGAAAAGCACAACTTTATGACACTGCATAAACAGTGTGCAACCTGCAGGAGATGATGGTCAGTCTGGCCCCAATTTGAAAGAACAGGCAAAAGTCCCAGCAACGCAGCTAGACGATGAAAAGCTAAAGACGGGGTCAGTGGCACAACATCCCACCGAAACAATAATCAATATTACTTGTCTACGCTCTATCTGTACTATTTTACCACACTACCTTGCCATCAGATCGCTCTTTCCACTAAAGAATCGCCATCTTCAAAGCCACCTATTGACAAATGCTGTCACTTTACCTGACAGGAGACAGGAGTTGCTGGTCTATTGCTGTGTAACTGTGGTGTTTTAGCACCAAACTAATGTGTTTAAACACCAAAGTCACACAGCAGCACAAATCAAACTAACTGATCGCGTGTTCTTCACAATGAAATGACTGTTTTTGTCAAAGGAGTCATGGGGTTTTGAAGAGAGCGGGGAGTGATATAAAAGTTCTCCTTTGGAAAGGGTTTTCTGACAGCGAGATAAAACAATGCAGATGTTCTAAATGTGACCCAGACTAAAGACTTTTTCTAGGTGGTTAAAATAGGTTTTGCTGCTGCCCCCGTCCACAGCAGGTCAATGTTTAGCAGCTGTCCTCCTGGCTGCTTCTCTGAACTGTAAACTCAGTGACTGCCATCTACTGTAGGTAATACACTGACTGTGGATAAGTACATCATACAACCCTCCCTCAGTGAAACCAAACTGTCCCTTTAATGTCAAGTTAATCACTGAGAACCCATGTAATACAGTTAATGAATGCGTAAAATAATGTTCATTATTTGGTTGATGCTGTCATATCTATGGCAACTTCACTGCATTGAAAGCACAGCACCAGCATTTATCAAGTTTTTGATGCAAACAGTTGTATATTTAAACATCCAGCAGATATTTACCAACATTGTTATTCATTTATCAGGTTTCTGGCAGCCAGATAAACCTGCAACCAATGTTCACTTCCCTTTAGCTCTATTTTGACGTCTACCAAGTCCTACTGTGGCTCTTTAGCGGCATTTTTTTTCTGTGTTCACCAGCTCTTCCTATTTATGTGTCTTGTTTGGTGCTGGATATGTGGTGTACAGTAGCTGGGGCTAGGGGGCTGTACAACCAAAACAGTTAGCTGAAAGAGAGTTTTCCTTTTTTTATTTGCGTCTTAGTTTCCAGTTGGTTTGACAAAATGTAAAGTTGTCAAATAAAACCTTTAATGAAGCTGTATGACGTTGTAATCTTGGTATGAAATAGTTAAACTGTATATTTATGCTCACCTGTTTTGTTCCAGATGCGGAGCGTGAGTGGAAGGGACCATTTTGCTTCATCCAAGCTGCAGACCCCCAGCTTGGGTTGATGAAGGCCTGGAGGGACGGAGACTGCGATGGTGGCGGGGACGAATGGGCTGAGGAAGTTGAGTTGACTAAACAGGCTGTGGAGGCTGTTAACCAGCTCCGACCAAGGCCAAGGTTCATGGTGCTGTGTGGTGACCTCGTCCACGCCATGCCAGGTAGGGTAGGAGCACAAAAATAAACACACTGCCCTGGAAATTCTTTAAAATAGTTGTAGGTCTCAAAACTAAATGAGAGTACTACTGCTGCAATCTCATCAAAGTGAAGAGGTCGTTTTGCCAGTTTCTCACCTGGTAAAATCTTTTTTTTCAGTCATTTTTAAAGAACTAAAATCTTTTTAGCAAGTGGCTCTAAACAGGTGTTTAGAGGAAACACCAGGTGGGTCCTGCTTTTGCTTTTATCTTTACTGAGAGATAAATACGTGTTGAGCTCTGAAGCTTGCAAAGAAACATCAACAGCAGCACTTACTACGGAAAACAAGCCACAGCAGAGACGAGAGGTTCCCAGTGGACACACCACCGTATGGACAGTAAAAACAAGATATTGGCATCCGCCAGTGGCACTGCCAATTATCTGCTAATGTTTTAGGACATAATGTGAACTCACAGATGCCAATTGCGTGAAATTGAACTCTGCTCATCCTCTTTAAGTCGGACCAAATGATACAGCAGAGGTCCCATGAGTGTTATCTCATAGCATCTGGTACCAGACGCGTGCTCGTGCAAATGCTGCACCTTTTTTCCAATCACTCTCTCAAATTACAGATAACAGTAAACTATTTGTAAACACAAGCTGTGATTTCATGCACTATGCACCATTTCACCAGTCAACTTGTTTTATGCCTGATTGGTATTCAACAGTTTTATTCCCGTTGTGATTTGGAACGACAGTTGGTCATGCACTTGCAGAGCTGGAGTGATATCCAGGGAAATTCTGTTTCACCTTGTCTAAATAGACAAGGTTGTGCATTCTTGTGGAGCAGTGAATGCAAAAATCAGAAGCGTTGCTGTGGTGATGGCTTTGCAAGATACTAAAAAGGTAAAAAATGATTTCTGAGCTTCTTTTGAATTTGCTTCATGTTTTTGTAGAAATGTGTGGCAGGAATTGCAAACTGTGTCAGCTGAGTAAGCACAGTTCTTGCAGTGGCTACAACATGTGGGTCAGTTTTCATGTACAGTCACCCTCAGATTTATTCATACCCTTTCATTTAAGAAACGGCAAAATTCACAATAGTTACTCAAATAACTAGAAACTGAAAAAGTAGTAATAAATAAAAGAATTGCTAAATTATAATTGAGTGAAGTAAGACATTGTTTTTGAATTGTGGTTGAAAAGAATAATTAAAAAAACAAAACTGTCCTGGACAAATTAGAGCACTTTGCTGATGAGCAGTGGGCCAAAATCTAAATACCTGTCAACAGGTGCAGAAGTCTGATTGAGAGTTACAGAAAACACTTGACTGCAGTGATTGGCTCAAACAAAATATTAGTTTACGGGTCCCATCATGTTTCTTTGCTTGTTTTGTTTTGTTTTGTTTTTTTAATATTTCTGTTGAACCACAATTCAAAAGTAATGTCATGATTTTAATTACATTTTTATTTATTATTACTTTTGTCAATTTGAATTTATTTCACTGACAGCTGTTTTTTTTTCCTTCTTTAATGGGAGCCTATGAATACATTTGAGGACGACTGTAGGTAACCTCACAGTAGGTACTTACTTTGCTACACCACAACACAGACCTGAGAAATCCAGCTTCACCACAGGATAGTCACCACCTTTGCATCATAAGTAGGAAATGCACCACCAACTACAGCCTTTGCCCACAGAAGCTATGGCTGCTGCCAGATGCCTTTCACTTCTAAGTGCCCGTGTCTGCCTTTGTAAGCTGAAATGTTTTCACTTCAAGATGATTGCTGGATTATTACTTAAAGTATCAACATATCAGTGATACATCTGGCATTTGCTCTGATAGTTCAGTAATTGATAGTGATGTGTAGACGTCAGATAGATCAACTCTGTTGAATGTGGCTCCGCTCACTCTGTTTTCAGTGTGGGTTTTCTTTTTTGACCTGCCTAGCATGAGATGAAACAGGAAAGCTGCTCTGAAAGGATCTCTTACACCTGTGTCAAATATATTTTTTATAATAGTTAAATACAACAAGAGCGTTTCTTGCTGAAACCTTCACAATTTGTGCTTTTTCTGTCATACAGGATTCCAAAAATGCATGCAGTGTGATCTGATTCCAGTTAATAGATACAGTCAGCACCGTTTTTGAGCCTTGGGCAGAATTGATTATTTTTGACCCCAGAGCAGCAGGTGGGAGAGGTTTGTGGTGACCTGCAGAATTAATGCATCTCTGGTGATAACAAATGCCACTTGTCAAACCAATATGTAATCTAAACGTGAAGGACATGCATAATAGATGTGCTGCGTGTTTTACAGAATTCTTTTCAGGGTATGTCTGTCGGGTGTGAGAATAAACATATAGAACTGAGTCTGCATGGTGCTCATTATGTCGATTGCTGCAAGTTGTTAAATATGTTGTTAGTAGAAGCAGAGCAAGTTTTCTAACATACATCAGTCTTTAAAGAGAAGGCAATATGTCTGATACAGATATTGATTCTTGTATTCTCAGCTGCCCTGTGAGACAGTCCTAATCTAATTAATACACTGTGTGAAGAACTTTGGGATGGTTCAGTCACAGAATATTTCTCTCTGAGGTAGGCTTGAACATTAGCCGTCTCTGTTTCCCAGCCAAAGTGTGTAAACAACCTATTCCCATATGGCAGCGGCGGCTGATATTCATCTGTGAAAAGCAAAGGGCTCGTGGCTATTCTCAGGCTGATGCTGATGAAGATTTTGCTTATTGATCAGACTGAGCAGATCTTAAATTCCTGTCCAATTCTAAAAAATAAAAAATCTATATAAGATAGCTGCTGGTGTGTTCACAGGTGCTGCAGCAGCTTCAGCTGGGAGGCAAAAAAAAAAAGTTAGCTGTCTGTCCTGTCCGTAAAGTTCAGTTTGTAAACATCAGAACCAGTGTGACAGCATGCAATATTTATCTATTAAAGCACCTGGTTGCCTTCGAGATATTTGCAGGGAGGCTCTATTTTGTTATTTTTGAAAAGTTGAAATGGTTCAGCAGAAGACTACGAGTTGCAGATTTTGAGAATGCGAGGCATGTTCATTCCATCATTCGGTTTGTGAATAATATCTATCAGTAGTGTGGTTCGGTGGTTTCTCTCCATCCATCTCATTCTGGGAGTTGATCATATTAGATGTCTTGGAATCAGGACAGCAAGCCAAGCTCTTTTGCCACAGTGGCAGCTGGTTTCCCCCATACACCAGATGCTTTCACTGTTTAGCCAGACAAATAGATTTTCGGTGTAGAAATTGGGTTTGAAAAAATAGCTGGTTACCTCCAGAAATGACTGGTTGAGTAAACAAAATAATCCTTTCGCTGGTCATTTCCCACCTTGTTGGAAGCAGACACATTGTGTTTGACTCACGCTGCGTTCCATTGTGCTCCCGTCTGTCGGGCTGTTTCAGTAGTGACAGAGATATGATGATTAATACTACATACCATTTAAATACAAACAAACACGTCTTGCTCATGATGCAGAGCACCGTTTGAAGCTGTACGCAGTATGTTTCACGAGTGCAGGAGCTTGATTGTGTACGTTGGCAGGTATTATTGGAAAGTGGATGCTTTAACTGAAGTAGCTGTAATGAGCGACTCTGGCATGGTGAGCGCGCTTTTCGATGTCCAGATGCCTGATTCTATAACGAGGTAAGAGAAACGGTGCTGGCGAGACCCACTGTAGAGTTAATGTGCAGCAAAAAGAGCCGCAAGCCGCCAACCAGCGCAAACTACCTTTGCATGACAATTAGAGGGCCAGCAAGAGGTGCCTCCGTGGTTGACTGGCCTCAAGAAATGGACACTGGAAGAGAAAAGAAGTCAGCAGGTGAACCTGTCTGTCTCCATCTCTGCATGTTTTCTCTATCAGTACTCCGTTAGTGTGTTGGGTTGGATCGTGATGAAAGTTTCCCAGAGCTCGATCCTGAGGACAAAGTAAGATATTAAACAGAATTAGAATATTTAGTTATATGTGGTGCTGTATGACATCTGTAAAATGTCCTTGGCTCCCTGTTTCTAAAATTTGACTCAAGGCAAACTATTCATATTCAACACAGATTTGGCTTGGCTTAGTCACAGAGCAACTCTTGCTTTTCCTCTCTTCTTTTCTGGGTCATAATGACCACCAATTTTAGCAGCACAGCCACAGTCATGAACACTCCTGGAGCTGTCTCTCCCTATCATCTGAGAGTCTTGCTGTAGGCATCCAAGTATCCTTATCATCTCCATGACTGCTCCATTTATACCAAAACATGTCCGCCATCCATTTTCCACCACCCTCTTCCCCCGTCCCCCTCCGATCAGTCGCATGCAGAGGTCGAAGCGAGATCCATTTCACATGCTGTGGGACAGTAGATAGCGTAAGCATGGGGCTTAAACCCCAAGGCCTTGGGGACCTTTAAACGCTGCAACGTCAGCCCTTGTTACTGTCAGCACCAGCAGGGCAGGTTGTGTGTGCCATCCTCATTACTTGCCACGTCCGTCACTTGCCTGGCAACTGGGCTGCTGCATCGGCGGGGAGGAGGGAAAAGATATTATAGCCGGAGCTGCTCCTTCCGTCTCTGGGCTGACATTTCCCCTTAAACTGTTTATTTACAATACAGAATGAATGGGTGGCGGCCAGGGGAAGCTGGCTGTCAACCGGCATTGTTGACACTGCTGCCTGTCGGCGACAGGAAATTGGCAACTGTATTTCTGTTCCCACGGATTTCGCTCTCTATCTCTCCTCTCCGTTGCTCTCACACTCTCTTTTCCTTTCTGTCTCTTGCCTCTATCATCTGTCTTTTCTCTTTAGCAAGCAGCTGCAGTCACATGCCTCATACCTTATTTTGACAACCTTCATTTGCAAGTCTGACACCACACACAAACACACTAATTTATTCTCGCCGCTGATGAATCTATTTGAGGCATTCGTGTGAATTCAGTCTAGTGTTGAAGAATCAAAGGTTCTGTTTGTTCGTGTAATCGTTCTAAACGAAGGATCACCGTGCTTTTCAGTGTCGCATATAAAGTTTACA